AAGGATTCTAGGCAGGCTGAACATCCGAGGGATTAGAAGCCGCCTGGCCCCCGGGCCGGGCGGGGATTAAACCCTTCTCTGTGTCTCTGCAGAGCGGGACGCCTTTGACACGCTGTTCGACCACGCCCCGGACAAGCTCAGTGTTGTGCGGAAGGTGAGCTCTCCATCCGGCTGTGTTTCCCTCTGTCCCTGGGCTTTTCTTGCGGCACAAACACCCCATGCAGGGAAGAAGGTGGGAGAATGTTTGAAATCCTCTGAAACGTTTGCCACATGGATTGAAGTGTAATTATTCAAAAGCGTAACCGCAGTGCATAAAATTAGCACCTTTTAGCTCAGCATCTCTGCTTCTGGGTATCCTCCTGCCCACCCACCCCGCTGCTGTGGAGTGAATTACCCCACCAGCACCGGGTGGCGGTTCATTCCAAATCAAGGCTTTTTTTTCAATGTGGAAATGTTTTTCAGCGTGTCAGCTTGCTGGCTCGTGCTGGCCTCGTCACATTGAAGCCGTATTCACGACGTGCCTGGTAAACAAGCAGGCGTTGCTTAGCAGAGCTGCATTTGGCCCGTCTCTCCCAGACGGGAGCACAGAGAGGCCCTTCCTCAGCCCAGGCAGCCTGCTGGTCAGTCTGCGGATGGACAAAACCGGACAAAACCGTGTGAACGAGGCTCCGGAGTCAGGCTGGGGAATAGCGAGCTTCCAAGGGGATCTGCCCAGAAGCCTTGCTCTCCGTCCAAAGGAATCAAGACCCGCTGCACATCGAGTTATCTGAGCATCTGTAGACCTCTCATTCAGGAAGGCAGCAGTGGGATGGACCTGAGCCTATAAAATCTGAGCCCTTAACCCTGGGGAGAGAGCTCTCTGTCTTGGACAATTTCCCCACACAGGTTTCTGAATGCAGGACTTCTCAGAGCCTTTAATATGCTGACATGCTTTGCAATTCTCCAAGAGGGGGCTTAGTAGGAAGCATTTTCCAAGCATGTTTGTCCGTAGTGAGATCTGCTTATTTATTTGGGGATAGAACATATTAAATTCCCATGGAACCCATGTTTGGAAAATATTTGTCCAGGTTGGGACAATGAGGTTGTTAGTTCTTGAAGCACTTTGCAAAAGGCTGGCAGAACCATCCCAGTGGTCCTTCTGGGGCGGAGCCGTCTTGGCATTCTCGGGTCACCAGCGACGTACCCTGGGGCCTCAGAGCATTGCCCCCCGACCCGCCCCCGGCCACATCCGACCCCCAGAACCCTGACGGAACGTATTCAGTGGATGCACAAGAAGAGGATTCATATCTGCCACGATCCCCCCATCGCCCACTTACAGGCTGTGTGACCTGGGCAGATTATAGCCCCTCACCGGCAGGTTTGGCAGGTTTCCCGTCTGCCAGGACAGAGGCAGCCGCTGTGAGAATACGATGCGACCTCCCTGTGCGAGGACCTGGCTCGAAGTAGATAGTTGCTAGGTGGCGTTGAATGTGATGTGGAGTAATGTTGTGTTTCAGTAGATCTGATGCTGATTTATTCTTTGAAAGGAATGCTGGGAGGACCCCAGCAATGACCAAGACAAAACCCTTTAGTTTCCCGACAGCTTCCTGCTTCCAGTCTGGCCCTTTCCCACTCCCACACTGGGAATTGTTGTGTTCGGGGCTCCCGTCCACCTCTCCAGGTCCCTCCAAGGTCATGCCCTCCTACTGTGTCCCATCCCCCCCCCC